TAGTCCAGTGTTCTCAGTACACAGTGGTAGAGATGAGTCCTCGCTCTTTGGATGCAAAGGAAGCATCAAAGAATACTACTAATAAGGTTTTTGCTGAGCTTTTTAAAACGTTCACTTATTACCATATAGCTGAAGAACACTCCTGCACTTCCTTAATGCAGAATTAAACTAAAGCTGCTGTTGCATATTGCAGAGACCAAAATCCTAAATGTGTACAAAAAGGAATTAGTTAATGACAGATCACAGGATAATTCAACCTGAAAGGAACCTCAGGCCTCTAGTTCAACCTCCTGCATAAAGCAGGGTGAGCTGGATCAGACCAGCTTCCTCTGAGCTTCATCCAGGTTTGTCATGGAAAGCTCCAAAGACAGACACTGCACCACCTCTCTGGGCAACCTGTTTCTCTTCCCGATCGTCCTCAGGGTGAAAAAATTTTTCTGGTAGTGGCTATGTAAAACATGGTGGCCTGAATACAACCTTGACGTCCAAGTTCCTGCTTATCTGAAGCTGTGAAAGAAAAAAAATAGGGGAAAAAAAATAAAAAAGATATACAGTACCCTTTGCTTGGTGGGTTTTTTCAAGGTGTTATGTTTTGTTTGGGTTTTTGTTTGTTTGTTTGGTGTTGTTTTTTTTTTTCCCTCTCTTCCCCTTGTTACTGGTGCTCATTGTCAAATACAGGCCATTCAGGACGGCCTGCCCTCTGGTTTGACCCATTTCTGACACTCAGAATTACTGGACACCACTAGGAACAGAAGCTGTCAAGCTAGAAGAAAACAAAACAAACCAAGCCCAACCAAACCTTCTCTCGCCATGGTGAAAGTTGTGAAAATTCTGGGCTGGGAGATGTCAATGGAAGTTATGCCACTGATTTCACTGAAAAGAGTGTCGCCTTGGAAGGCTTGGCCTTATGGACAAATTTTTAGCCCCTCCCCCCAAGGGGCTATTGTTACGTAAAGAAAGGTTAAATGCAAAAATCTGACAGGGCACGAACAGCAAGTAACAGCAAGTAACACGCTGGACGTAAGTTAGACCAAGTATTAGTATGTATTTATGCACAAGAATAAAAACAGCTTTACAAGTTGAATTGGAAATTTAAACAGAGGAAGTTTAACAGCTTTTGTATATTATATTAAATAACCAAAACACCTTTTTCCAAAATTGGTAAAGAATAAATAATATAATTTACAATATGGTACAAAAAAATAATCAGTAAGGACAGGCATTCTGCTTTATACATACACTATATAGGTATATTTATAATCTATAAAACAAATTCACATCTCAAGCCAGAAACCTTTGATGATATGGCTTAACTATTATTAAAAGAAACAGCATTAAATTTTGCTGCCAGAACCATAAGCTCTAAAGCAGTTATCATGTTCCAATAATTAATGATAACTTATTGCCGTAGTGCTTGCCAAGGTTTCACTTAGTTAACATTTACAAATTGCTGTGAAATTAAGAGATTCAAAGGTCTGAAAAGGTTAAAAAAAAAAAAAGTGCAGTACTTTCCTTATAAACGCATCCAAAGTCTGAGTGTAAAAAACAAAACACAACTTAATTTCCACTCTGGGACCTGCGGAGTCGGTAGATGAGATGTCTGTATAGATGAGATTTTATCCGAGCCGCTTAATTCCATTTAAAAACAGAGAGGGGTGTCAAGAAAAGGCTTAACAACACCGAATTAGAAACAATTAGTACTCCTATGCTTAGTAGGTGAGGTGAGAAAGGAGAAAATGAGTTGTGTGGGCAATCAGGTCGCCACAGCAGCAGAAAGCCCAGTTAGCGCGGGCGGGTAGATCTCACCCTTCGGATGTAGTGCTGCTGATCACCCCGGCTCCGTGACAACAAACTCTGAATCTTCTGCCACTCACCCTGCTCAACTGCTCGGAACTTCCTTCTTACACAGTCACTAACCAGCACGGGGAAAGCCTAGAGCAACCAACACTAGAACTGGGGTCATTAGTGTCCGCTTGTCCTCTCCAACCACCGCACGGCGCCCAAGAAGCTAACAAATCATCTTCACCTCAAAAGCAATCCTGCTGGCACGTCAGTGCAACTTGCCTGCAAGTTTGCTTAGGAGAGGCTGACATTGTTACACACATGGAGTTTGTTACTTCTGCTGGGGAAGCTGAAATAATAACAATTCGAAAAGTTTTGTGTTTTACAAAAAAATAATCTCTCGTGTGTGTGTGTGTGTGTGTGTGTGTGTGTACACACACCCTCGCCCCAGTTTTTCGCTTAGCATTCTTAGGCACAAACTGATCCTGATTAGTATTGTAAAGCACATCCACCCAAAATCTAGAACTGGTGGAATCAGAGGTGTGTTTACGTGACCCTTCACCAAATTCTGCATCAACTTCAAATTACCACAATGAGCAAAGTTATTTTCAAGTTTTTTCCTGATAAGACTTGTTTGTCCTGAAAGGGCTTTATTATCGAACTGCCGTTTGCAAAGCATTACATTTCTGAAGTCAAATTGTGTTTCATAATGACAACTCTTAGGAGGCTGATGCCAAACATGTTTCTAACGACAAATTTCTGAGTGCTGAACTGACCTCTGTCATTTCCACTTTGGTACCACTTGGTGATCCAAGTCTACTTGCAAAGGTACAAGATATTAAAATCTTCTGATCTCATGGCACCACGAAAAATAGCCACTGTGCTGACTTCATTCTGCAATTCTGTCATTCCCCTGGGGCAACTGACGGCTGAGATCAGACGGCAGAACATCTTCGCGGTCTGGACAAAGTGCTCTGCCACACAGGTGCAGCAACAGGCACTTGTTCCAGTCCAAGAGTCAAAACCAGCATCACGCTGACTCCATTACCAGCATGGGTAAAGAAGATGACATGTTTGTCAAGCTACCCAAATACACTGGAGACCATTGGGCTGGTCTTCCAGTATTTAGAAGCTTACAAACGAGAGTTCAGATTCTTTTTATACAGTACTTGATTAGAACGTATCACATCTCCTCCTGCACGTCCTTTAAGCCACAGCTACAGGAGGAGCCCTCTACTTTTGCCCTGCAAGTGCAAGTCCAAAGGAGTTCTGGAGGTACAGCATACAGGATAATCAGCATTGCTAATGTAAAAGCCAAAACCAAGAGGAAAACAATCTGGGAAAGACCGAAGCAAAATACAGGTCAACTCTAAGTAGAGCTTAGAAGTTCTAGAGGGAGTGACTCTCAGGATTAGTGGGTATCCTCTCCATGCCAAGAGTGAACGCTCAGAACGACACACTCCTCAGCATTCCTTTTTCTGACAGCCTTCAACTTTTTGTATTCTAGGTTTACATATTTCCTGATATTTGCACCAATTCTCAAACAAGGCTCTAAGAATAACGAAAGAGAAATAACGACAGAAGGACTTGGTATCTCACATGACATCCAGCCAGAAGAGGCAGTTAGCCCACAGGTATGAAATCTCCGGTCTTCTGGTCATGATTGTTTCCTTGCTACTCATACAGGTTTGCCTCCCTGCTGGGAACACCCAGTTGTACTAATGCTGGTTTTACACGTCCATATGATTCCTATGTCAGAGAGGAGGATGTAGCAACCTGATACGTGGGGTCTTGGAATGTCATCCAGTCTCACTGCTGTTGAGTGAAATCAGGAGGGTTGCTCTGGGCCACACGAAAGGTGCGTCAGAAAACTCGTTTAACGTTTTCTCTTAATGACAGAAAGCATAAGGCAAACTATTTGGTGGTTAAAAAAAATAATCCACATTAAGCAGGGTAAAGTGACTGGGAAAACAGGAAATCCAGTCAGTGCATCACGAGCAAGGTTACAAGAAGAAACTCCCAGTCAAATGCCTTGTGAAAGTAGCTGAAGGCAGGTAGAACTACATCCACCAAGTATAGTGCAAGCTGGGAAAATGAGCCCCTGGTAACAGCCCATGAGATGGAGGGTTTTGATTATTTATTAATGATATAAAGTTGAGGTTTCTAGAGGAGTAGCCCCTTGGATGAGTTCAGAGCTACTTTGAATAGCCACGGGACATCCTCTTACTGGAGAAGCAGAGAAGAGCTTAAAAAAGGGGCACAATAAAGGCATTCTCTCTCGTGACCAGTAGGAAAGGAAATAGGCGAAGTCTCCTGAGTTATAAAGGCAGAACTGAGGGACAACCAGCTGCAGGAAAAGTAACTTTATATTCGTTTGAACCTGCTGGTACAAGGATCTGGGTCTTTCAAACATTAAAACGCTACCATTAAACGCATAAGGATTTAGGAGAGGGAGTACCAGATCCTCTAGTGCCTGGGAGTGACTGTAATGAAAAATGATGCCCTGAGGTCCTACAGAGCACCTGGAATTCACAGAACAAGGAGGAAATAAGGAAAGACTAAGGGGTTAAGCTAGGACTTGACACCTCTCCTTCATGACACAAAGCAGATCTCAACAACGTTAGCGTGAACATATGATTTGTTTCTATACACTACAATATTCTTTCCTATTTCCTCTCCCAGGTAGATCCTCAGTTTTTGTGAAGAAAGATGGCAATATATACAAGTTTCCAGCAAAGCCAAGACTAATTATGACAAAGCTTTCCTAGTGATTCCAAGAAGCTCTTCTGCAGTGTTTCCTGACTTAAAAAGCAACCTCTCTTCAGGGAAAGCAAGAAAGCAAACTCCTACTCGTGGGATGAACTGTGCAGTGTGATGAAGAATCTCAAAGGTGGAGAACATGAGTGCAGTCAGGATAATGATGATTGTGACATGTGATGGGGTTTAAAAGCAGAGGAAACTCCCCATGGATCCATGCAGTCTGGGAGCAGAGTGAACGAGAGCTCCTCTCCGAAACAAGCAAGCAGGTAGGTGCCCCTGCTGGAATGGTCAAACAACAAAACAGCCAGAGAAACAGAATGGTCTGTAAAAACAAAGTGTCACCGAGTTGCAGCGCCTTTGGAGAGAGTGCAAGAAACTTCAGTTTGACTGACTGATCCAAAGAGTGCCAAGTAGGACGTGTCAAGATGCAAAACGGTTCCCATACTCACCCCCACCCTTCATCTTCCACAGCTTCAATGTCGATCCCAAATCACGGCATTTCGATTACTATGCAAAAACTAATTCACATACAGGAGCTTCTGGCAATACCCTTCCCTGCCTGAGCTTCCTGCGCAGGCCATTCCAAAGTACAGTACCAGGACTGTCCCATAAACCTCCATCTTCTATCAGTAATGCAGAAGACACATCATTTTCTGTAACACTATTCATGTTTCGTTGTTCCCAGTATATTGCACATTCCAGGACTTGCAAGTACTTCTTCAGACCTTTGAAGACAAGGCTTCTTTTTTAGAAAGAAGCACAGGAGACAGGGACAACTGAGCCTCAGCTGTTTCTCTACAACCTGCCCTTGCCATGATCCAGCGCTGCAAGCTCCAACTTCAGCTCAACAGTCTACACCAGCCTGCTGGTCTCCTACACTCACTGGGAGAGATCCCCAATTGGGGGACCACCACCTCCTCCATCAAACAGAATTTCCCTGCGGGTTGGCTCAGGTATTGACAGTTCCTGGGCAAGGTCATTGAAACGAGATATGTAATCTATGCTGTTCTCATTCATCATGCAAGCCAGCTGAGAATCCACCACCTAGGAGAGACACGAGAGAAAAAGGAGAGCTACATGTCAGTGGAAATTTCACAGCATCACAGAGTTGTTTAGGTGGGAAGAGACATCTTGGGCTCATTTTGTCCAATCATCCTGCTCAAGTAGGGTCAGCTAGAACAGGCTGCCCTGCACCTTGTCCGGTCAGGTGTTGGATTATCTCCATGAATGGAGATTCCGCCACCTCTCTGGGCAACCTCTTTCTGTGTTTGTCCACCCTCGCGTTAAAAAAGCTTTCCTGTGTTCAGGTGGAATTTCATGTGTTCCAATTTGTGCCTGCTGCCTTTTGTCCTGAGTTTGCCTCCCTCATCTTCATTCCCAGCCTCTCCTCATAGGAAAGAGAGGCTTTATCTCACTTGATCTGGGTTAGAGAATAGCTCTTAGCCGTGGCTAAATCCAAGCCTCTAAAAAACACCAAATCAAAACCCAAAACCCACCCACTATAGTCTCGATGGGCCCTACCTGCCTATCCTTAATTCAGCACTAAGGTGCACTAGAAGATGCACTTACAGATCTTACCTCCAACACAGCACCTGCATTTGTAAATAAACCTGAATTCTGCAGGACACTTAATAAAAGGCCTTTCGAACTCTCCCATCATTAAAGCCATTTTTCAGTGATTCTTGCTTCCTCTGAAGACTCCGACACAAACCCGCAGGTGCCACAGCAGCTGCTCTGGTGTGCCTAAAACCGTGGCTTACCCCAATTTCTTCTGAAGGAACTTTGTAAGATCAAGAGCTGCAACGTCACGTCAAATTCTCACGAATAAATTATCATATATTGCTTTAATTAATGCACACAGACAGACTCTCACCACCAAGTCAGCAGAATGTTCCTATTTATGCCAGGAAGTGGAGCCAGCTGTGTGTGGAGTCTGAAGCAGCCAAGGGCACGTTCAAACAGCACGAGCTTGCTGCAGCTCCTGCTTACAAGGTCTGTGCAGAACCTCCTTACCAAATCCAGAGGGCAGCAGAGGAATGACGTTTTCCTTCTGTCAGGGCAAGCCCCCCAAGTCACAGTGTACATGATGTTACCCTGAGCCAATGACCAGAAACTGTAGGATAACAGAGACTGGAAGGGACCTTAAGAGGTCTCTGGTTCAACCTCTTGCTCAAAGCAGGGTCACCTCAGAGGACAGCCCAGCTTATCCAGGGCTTTATCAATGTTAGTCCTGAACAGCTCTGAAGACAGATACTGCACAACATCTCTGGGTGACCTCGGCCTGCCTGTCCTCGGGGTGAAGGAGTTTTTCTTTATATGTAGGAAGAACCTTTCCCAGTTCAGCATTTGGCTGCTCCTCCCACCATGCATCACCGCTCTGTGAAGGGCTTGGCTGTGTTTTCTTGATGACATCCCTGCAAGTACTGGCAGGCAGTTAGGTCCCTCTCACCCTGAAGCCTTCTCCAGGATGAACAAGCCCAGTACCATCAGCCTTTCCTCACAGACAGCTGCTTCAGCCCCCCTCATCATCGTGGCAGCCCTCTGCTGAACTTGCTCCAGTTTATCTATGTCTTTCCTGTAGCAGGTGCTCAAAACTGGTCGCAATGTTCTAGACATGGTTTCACAGCTGTTGAGCAGAGTGGGATAATCACCACTGTTCCATCTACTGGCTATGCTGCTGTGGAACAGCTGGTGACACTCTTGGTCACCTTACATGGCTCAGCTCTGGTGCAGTACATCCCCAAGTCATTTCACATCTTCCTGTTAGGACTGTAACCTTGTTTTACTAAGCTGAGGAGCAGATGTCAAAGATCTTTGCCTTCAATACCTCAGGAAGGTATGATGGACACCGTACAGCAACGTTGCACTACAAGGAAGCAGACAGCTGAATGCAATTTGGTGACGTACCTCTGCTACATCTGCCAGAGACCGTGACACGAAAGAGTCCCGCGAGTTTCCATCCAGAAGGCTGGGTCCCAGTAAGGAGGTGCCACTGGCAGTCCCAACAGGAGTTGGCAACATCTTTCGTCCCTTCTCGGGGGAGATGAAACTTGCTACAAAGAACAGGCACACCAGTAAGTCACTGCACTGAACGTTTGCAACTGGGAGGATAGAGGGAAGGACAAGGAAATAGAAAATGGAGAAGAAAAACAGATACCTGTTCTATCTATTAAAAATTATGAGTTAAAGCATGAGCACCATCAGCGCACTGCTAAGGGTGCAGAGACTCATTACACTGGCCTCATTAAATATTAATGAAAAAAAACCCAAACAAACCCCAAACTCAGGTTTTTGTGACTGCACCCACCAAGCACACGAGGAAGGCTATTTTTCCCCAGCAGAGCCAAAGGCATCTTTTCATTTTGGCAGAACAGCCAAAATGTCTCAACCCAACTGATGAGTCAGGCTCTAAACAAGAAATTATTTGTCCCAAGGTACGGGCCCCAGTCTGCCAACAGGATCTTTTCAGGAACAGACTTGGAAAGGGAAAGAAAATGTATTCAAGGCGACACTGTTCAAATGAAAGCAAGAAGTAATGGAAAAATTCTACAAATGTCCTACTGGGTTTATGATTTTCCAAAGGATTCACTTCCAATAAATAGGTTTGGTTTTGTTGGGCGTTTTTTTGGTTTGTTTTTTTTTTTTTTTTAAACAGGAAAGAGCTTTTTTGTTGCAGTTCTCTGCACATGGACACTTACAAAACAAGCTGCTGAGAGACGAGTCTGTGGAGTCATTGGGGTACCACTGGGGGTCGTGGCTAGGAGAGGCAATCCAATTCTGCTGAGGACTACTGGAAGGGGACGGAAGACTTTTGGAGCTGTCACTGCCGTTCAGCTTTGCAGGAGAGAGAGCAACACCTTCACCTGTAAGCCAATGTCAGGAGTCATGGTTCACTCAACACTGTCAAGTCACAGGCACTGCGCCAATTTATGTTTAGAGAGGAAAATAAAACAACAACAAAACCCCACCTACATCTGCTAGAAAATAAAGGCTAAATAAATTTTATTTCCAATAGATACTAAAACAAAAAAACCCAAACACACCAAGAACTGCTTCCTGGAAAAGTTTCTGCTGACATGTAGCAGAAACTACATATATTTTAAAAAGATATAATTTTTAAGTTAATAGGAAGGCTTTAGCTAAGCTCAGACTTACTGTATTGACCAGAGCTGATAGCTATTTCAATGATGGAATCACTGATTTGAGTGGCAGGTTCTCCTTGGGAAAGCACATCTTCAGGGGGCCCGGGCAGAGAGATATCCAGGAGAGCAGAAACATTGGGAGGAGAGAGCCGAGTACTAGAAGCTTCTGACGAGGGAAGTGGAGGGGTGGAGAGACCATTTTGGAGGGGAGTCTTGGACAGTTCGGACAGAGAAAGGACCGACGTGCCCTGTTACAAGAAACAGAGTTGATTGTTCATTAATTTGTGAAGGACTTGGAAATCTGTCTGAAAAACAACAGCTTGGCTCCTAAGCATCAGAGTAAAATCAGACTTTAAGAGAAGAAAAAAAAAAAAAGTCAACTAATAATCCAGCAGATAAAATTCCTAAAATTTTAGGAATATATTATTATTTATATAATAAATTTGTAGTATTTTCACAAAAAAAGATCTGTAAGCATAAACAAATATCCTTCAGCCCATATCCTGCCAAATCAGACATGAAAAAAATGCCTGTAACCTTCCAAGGAATATTTAACACAGCCTACATAACAGAAACAAGCAAAAAATCAACATGATTTTGATGAACTTAGACAGTTCTTCAGAATTAAGTACTAATTTGCCTTTGTACAGGCAAAAGCCCTGTAACTGCTTGAAGAGTGGGTAAATATTTTAAATTGCTACCTCACTCCTCTTTACAGCCAGGTATTTTTTAAGGACTCTCGTTATTAGTGAGCTGTTTGTGGTACAGACAAAGCTGTCCTGAGAGCAAGGACCAGAACCTGAGGCCCCATTACCACGAATAAATGCCTAGTAGGTTCGTGTCCTAACATCTGGGCTATAAAAAAAAAAAAACAATTAAAATAATCTTCCTCTCCTTCATGCTCTCCAATCAAATTATTTTGACCTTTTCCACATGTGTTTGCACAGAACGGGCGGAAAGTGCTTCCACTGAAAAAGAGAAAAGCCTGTATTCTGTGGCTTCAGGATCTAACACAAGGTCCTGGATCTCACTGGAGAAGGACAACAACTGGACAGGGTGACAACAGCCTCACTGCTGAGGTGCTGCCACAGTTGCTTTTGAAGTATCTGTCTTAGTGGATGCAGCACGAGGAAATGCCATTCTCTGAAGAGGATGCTGGTGTTACAATCATGCTTTTAGTCTTAACATTCCTCCTTCAGCAGCACACAAGCAGTGGGACCGCCGATTGCCAAATTCTTTCTTTGGGATGTCTCAAACACACAGGTATGACACAGCAGAGCACTTACAAACTCCTCCACTGCATCGAGAAACACGTAAAACCTGTTTGTCCTTCAGAGGCCAGTCAGCTTCACTTTGCTTTTTTAGAGAACAGCTCTTAACACAAATTTAAGCAGCTTTCCTAAATTTCTTTCTTTAAATTTCTTCAGATGCTAGAGATTTCCATACCCACAAACCAGTACCAGTGGTGTACAATCACCTGGGAACAAGGAGTTGCAACTAGTACTACCAGTGGTGTCTTCCAAACATTACCCATCTCACACAACTGTTCCTTCAACACATACTCTACCTGGAAACCATCAGGAACCGCCTCCTGCCCATGCCGTGCTGGCAGACTGATGAAGGGAACGCGACAGCCGGGGCCCGAGCCCTAGAAGCACAACAGAAATCATCTGAGTTACACACGTTTGCAAGAGATGCTGCAAATATAGCTGGGAGGAAGAGATAAGTGCCTATCACCATTCATGCACGCGCTTTCTACAACACCAGAAGGACATGGAGCTGCTGGAGCAGGTCCAGAGGAGGCCACAGAGATGATGCTTTGGGCTGAAGCACCTCTGCTATGGAGACAGGCTGAGAGAGTTGGGGCTGTTCAGCCTGGAGAAGAGAAGGCTCTGGGGAGACCTTCCAGCACCTTCCAGTACCTAAAGGGCCTACAAGAAAGCTGGAGAGGGGCTTTGGACAAGGGTGTGTAGTGACAGGACACGGGGCAATGGCTTTGAACTGAAAGGGGAGATTTAGATTGGATATAAGAAAGAAATTTTTCAACTCTGATGGTGGTGAGGCACTGGACCAGGTTGCCCAGAGAAGCTGTGGCTGCCCCATCCCTGGCAGTGTTCAAGGCCAGGCTGGATGAGGCTTTGGGCAACCTGGTGTAGTGGAGGGTGTCCCTGCCCATGGCAGGGGGTTGGAACTGGATGATCTTTGAGGTCCCTTCCAACCCAAACCATTCTGTGATTCTATATCATGCCTTTCAAAACGGTCCATCATCAACTCCCTGAGAAAATGACATGGACTACCACGTATCTGGGTCTCAATGAAAGACACAAGGAGAAATCACAATTTCCATTCCAAATACATCCCTAAAAGTCCATGTTTTGCCCCAGATTCCCTCCTGAATTACTGTCTATCAAAATGCTACTTTTTCTGGTGAAGCCCAGATTTCCCGATCGCCAACTTCCACAGCCTCACGGCCGAAAGCTGTTCTACAGGATGGAAATCCATTCAGGGTGCTGATGATTTGATGACTGATGATTTGATGACTGATTTGACCACGACAAAAGTGTCTACAAACAAGCTCCAGGAGAAAGCTCATCCAAGAGTCATTAACAACACAGCTTTTTTGCACGACAGAGCAAGACACTGAGCTACTTCAAAAAGCGTGCTGGAGAGACTCTGACCTCCACGGCGGTGATGGAGCCTCCGTTCTGATGCACTACTGCTGACTCCTGCCCCGTCACCACCGCGGCCACTCCGTCGGGTGACAATGGAGATACACCTGACAAACCATCCGCATCCAGGACAGGCACGGGGCTACCAGGGATAATACCAGCACTTTTAGCTGCCAAGTCGATAGCACCTTTTGTGAAAGAAAAAAAGCAAAAAACACATTACGAGCCTTTTCTTCAGGCCATTACTCTGTTGCGACTCATCTGAAAGATGATTTTTTTTTTAGGAATTGCCAAGAGTCAAAACTCAACACACACAAAAAGCGCAAATGGTAATTATCTGATCAACTATATCCGTTGGTCCTCTTCACAAAGTACAGCATTTCTTTCAGCTAAAAATGTTTAACTTTTCAACCCTGTTCCAACAGGTGTATCAAAAGAGTTTAGAGAAACATCCCAGTTCTCCACTCCCTGCCCTTTCCTTCTATTTTTTTTTTTTTTTTTTTTTTTGTCCTTCAAATGGTTAAGTGTTTGGTTATGGAATTTCTAGAGATTTCCTACAGTTTACTAGAGGAGCTCTAAAACCAGCACTGCCTTCTTTTGTTGTCTTGTCTCTAGCAGCCATTTAGACCTAATATAAAAAACTGATATTGTTGCAGGGTCAACCTCACCCAGGTGTTTTAAAATCCACTTAAAACATCTGAATGTCTTCCCATCACGGAGTAAAGTAACACACAGAGGCAGTCATTGTTTTTACCTCACTAATCATTCTAATCATGGGACCCATTCTTTTGTTTCAAGACAGTGTCTGCCTGGGGTACACTGGCACGCTTTTTTCTTGTAGAACCCATAATCCCACGTTAATAAACACGCTGTTCAGAAGTTTATTCCAAACATGTCACGACCCCTTTTCAAAATGGTCTTAGAACAAAACATCACAGAAGTGCTCAACTTTAGTTACAAATTCTAACCCTGGCTTTGCCTGCAGGTCAGACGGAGCAAGGGAACCTCGTTCCGACTGTCCCACCACTGACTGCTCCCCCTCTGCAGTCACCCAAAGTGAGGTGTCACTAACACAGTTGTTTTCTTTAGCTTCCAAAGGCACTAATGATTTCACCTAGGAAACAGAAACCAACAGGTAAGGTCATACAGATCACAGCAGACCGTGACTCTCATTCTGATTAAGAAATGACTTACTAGACAGATGGTTGGGAGCCTGTGTTGGAAGAACTTTGGGCACGATCGGACGAGAAACAGCAGCCTTGGTCAGTGAGGACTGGATTGGCCGAAACGAACCTCTCCCTAGAGTAAAGGATTAAACACCTCTCAAGCCAATGAAACCTGACATCTTTAAAGCAGAGCACAAGCCAGTTCAATGGAGGCAAACAAATCCCAAGCAGTAGTGAGCTCCTGGAATGCAAGGAGCCGAGACGATGAAACAGACTTGAAACATTCTCATAAAACCAGCAGCAAGTGTTGCTGTGTTACTGAAGCTGCTCCCAGTATTTTCAGTGAAGATAACCTTTCAGATCTCGTGTTGATTTGGGGATTTAAGCCCAGATGGTGGATCACCTGTACTACCATTGGACTCAAGAGCGTATCTGCAGGAAAGGACAAACGGGCACTACACCGATTACTCTGTATGAAATTTAACCAGTATCCTGGGTACCAGGAAAAGTCCATTATAAAACCTAGACAAATGATTACACCCTACAGAAAAAAACCTCTTATCTAAGTCATTTATTCCAAAATTTTTTCTCCTCGCAGAGAACTACTTATTGTTCCCTGCTTTCGATACTGGGAAATGGAAGAAAAAGCTTCTGTCATGATCATGACTTGCTTAACAATAATCCAGGAGAACAATCCCATCATCCTGCAGGAAGAGGCTCAAGCGACTGGTAAATGACTCTGGTTTTGAAAGGGTATTTTCCTCTTTTTACAAACTATTCCTTTATGGCATTTTCATCTCATGCAGAGTAAAAGCAACAGAAGACACGCCGACTCACCTGTAATGGATGAGTTGGATAAGATCGAAAAGGAGCAGACATGCTGGGACGGATTTCCAGATGGCCTGGGGAGCAGTGTTCTCTATGTGAGAGAAAACATATTTAAACACAGAAAAGAGGGTGAAGCTCACCTGGTAAGGCACAGAAGTTCATGGTACCCTCTGCAATAAGCAGAGTATTTACACAGCTTGACTATCATGCAACAGACACAGCAATAAGGTCTGTGTCATTCTGCAGAATAACCGACAGGTAGGAGTCGTGTGTTCTCTCTGTAAACTATGACAAGAGAAGATTTCCACATGGACACTTCTCAGCTAAATGCTAATTAGAGCTATATTCCTTTCCAATTATTCTTCCAGTACTTTTAAATCTCCCACAGAATTACAGCAGTGATCTCAAGGATGTGATCTACTCTATGTGCAAACCAATCTCCCATTACAATTAAGCAAATGGAATTGCACAGACCAGAGTATCTCAGTACCAAAAAACAGCACGTAGGTAATTTCTAGGTCTTTTATACAAAGCAGAAAAGACAAAAGGGTACATTGACACGTGGTAATTGTTTTCTCCAAAGAAGTTTCCATTATTTTGGTTTTAGATTTCTTGTATGTTCTCCACCTGCTACAAGTCCCTAGGACAAGCCTGTGGTTTCACAGTGGCACGTGAAACCATTTTTTCCCAGAAATAATTTTTCTTCCAAATACTGCTACATAATATTTCAGTACAGATGTTCATACCCACCCCAGTTTAACAGTCATTACTGAGCAGGAAGCAGGAAAAAAATGTGTGAAGGGAAATCTTGTTGCACTAGCACCGACAGCTACAGCACTGGCAGGTCGGCATACGACATGAACACGCTGCTGGTGCATCAGGACCAGCAGGCCCAAACAGCAGAACCTGCTTTAAGGTGAGGGGCTTTTTTTATTTTTTCCAAACTGTCTCATGCACTGACTACTACTGTTGTTGGCATTCCTCGTACAGAGAGCATAACACGGCTGGTTACAACACAGGCTAAAACGCTTCTTCCCTTCTATGTTCAGCTTCCCTCATGTATCCACTGGAAAAGGGAAGCTCAGTTTTTCACTTCAGTTACGTGCAAATCATTAGAGCCTATTCAGGAAGCAAACCAGGCATTTCACACTTTGCAAAGTGTTCTGACCTGTACTACTAACGGCTTCCGCAAGTGCCTGTTCCGTAGCTTTCTTGGCTTTGGCAAGAAGAAGTCCGACTGCATCTGGACAAGAACAGGAAATGCATTAGAAAGTATTTTAAGCATGCAGACACAAAATAAATTATACCCCCAAACTCTGTTTTTCAGTGAAGTTGTAACTATTCATTAAAATACTCTGGTTTGCTTCAGACAGTAGAATACTTTTCTGCTAGAGTAGGAAAATTTTCCACCAGGAATATATTTTTTTTTTCTTCTTGTTTTATGGAGATAAAGCTTTCACCCAAAAAAGCCATTTCAATACTTAACTACTGTAGCATGTCATGAATCACAGAATGGTTTGGGCTAGAAGGGACCTCCAAGGCCATCTAATCCCAACCCCTCTGCCATGGGCAGGGACCCCCTCCACTACACCAGGTTGCTCAAAG